AGGTTTCTGCCTTTCTAGAGCTCCTAGACCAGTAGGGAAACCCAGGCAAAGAACATGTAAACCAATAAATGATGAAGTAATAATACAAAACAAGAAGGTCTTGAAGACAGTGCATTGGGATATGGGATGACTGGTGTGAAAGGTAGAGGAGCAGCTTTGGCAAGGGTGGTCAGGAAAAGGGTGTCAAAGGAAGCCCAAATCATGAAGGCAACTCTGTACGCAAATCTGTGAAAGAGTAATGGGTATTCAGACATGAACAAGCGTGGCATGTTTGTGGGTCAGGAAAAGGGCCCATTTGGAGGAACCTAGTGAAGGCAGAGTGTGGCTGAGAGAGAGCTCTGGTTGGAAGCAGATCATGGTGGGATTTGGGTGAAATGGGGAGCCATTGAAGAGTTGTAGGCTATAGAGTAACGTTCCCTAATTTATACTTTGGGAAATTTACTTGAACTACCCTGGGGGGAAAGGCACCCTATGGAGATAGATGGTGGGAGGGAGACCAGTTAGGAAGTCTGTGGTGAAGCATGAGTTGAATTTGGGGCAGTAACAACTATAAGAAGTGGTTGTTAGATGTAGAATATTTTTGGAGATGGTGCCAAGATTTGCTGATGAATTGGAAATGGGGGTGACAGAATGAGATAAATTGTGGAAGATTCGGGATTATGGTCGTGACCCATGTAAACGGGTCCTGGCAATACAAACAAGTACAAATTGGTCATGAGAACTGAGGAGGGTTTGTTTTCAAAGAATAGCCAGACGCTTATCTAACGTATTCTAAAGTCTACCCTGGTGTGTCAGATCCAGAAACTTGGTAAGGGGGCCAAAATACATTGTGAGATTTTTTTTTTTTAATTCAAAGTCTGATCAGCCATCTGTTACTCACCAGCCACTTTGCTGGCCAGCTTTTGTCACTAACAGCCCTACTCAGCCTGCCCGAGCAACCTAGCCCAACTGTCTTAGAGAGCCACTGCTCCTATTGGTGTCACTTGGGGTGAAAGCCCTGATTAGCACCTTCTAGGACCTCAGATGCAGTGACACCTGAGTCCTCGATGGCACTGCCCATCTCATGTCAACCTCAGTCTTTGCGAATTTACAGCTGACACCTGGGAGCTCCACAGACCACCTTGATGGTTGTCATGATCTTGCATTTGGTGAAGTCAGATAAGAACAGTTGAAATCCCCAGCATTTACTGTGGTGTGGCTGGACCCACCATTTCCTCTATCATTTTCTTTCCCCTACATACCCTGGGTCCAGATGGAGCTGGGATATTGTATCAGATCATACTGGGCTGTGGTACCATGCACGTGTCTTTATTCCAGGTTGTCTGAATTCCCAATGAGCCCTGTCTCTACTTGCTTATTTATCAGGACTCAGTTTGCAACTTGAAAATTGGGGAAGCAGGGGGAAGCAACCAAGGAAAATTTTGTGGATCTTTTTGCCCCCCTTTTTTTTAATATGACCAAACACTTTTATAGTTCACTCTTTTCTATTCCAGGTCAATCTCCTTTTATTTATGTGAAGTAAGACATTTATGCCCTCCTGATCCAGCTGCTCTTTCCTGCAGGGGAAATATCACTCTGCATTTAAATGGAAACCTTAAGATTGGACCTGAGCCTGAATCTCCAAGTGAGAAATAAACAAATGTCATTAACCTTTCCAGATAGCATGCAGACTGTTTGGGGCAACGGGAGAGCTCATGTACCAAATGTCTGGCTTTTACAGGCAAAGTCAGATGGAGTAGAGGTTGGCCTGGGGCTTTCCTCCCCCTGACTCAACCAAAGGGCAGCTTATGTTTACACGGCAGGAAAGGGAACTCTCCTTCCCCATAGTAGATAGACATGAGCTGCCACTTTCCAGGAGATTGGGGAAGAAAATGGCTTTGGTGTGCTTTATTTGTGATTTTTTTTCCACCAAAATCAAACTGTAGCTATAGTTGGGGCATGGAAAATGAGAATTAGGGTATTTGATGCAGTAGCCCCCAATGGGGGGATTCAGGGCTAGGTCAGCTGTTAGACAGCATGAGACCTCTGGCCTTCATCATGTCAAGATCTTGGTCATTATACAGTAAACCTTATTTTTCCATTCCCTTGCTCTGTCTCTGATCACCACGACATGCAGCTTCTAAAAACATGGGTTCTAGGTTCCCCATAGCATCTTTGCCTTTTTTTCTTTTTTGTTTTTTAATTATATATAACATTCTTCTGCTTCCAGCTACCATCTATTTTTATTTTCAATTAAAGACCGTTTTAGTATTAATAACTCGTCTTTACTGGGATTTCATCTGAGTTAATACAAAATTTTATAGGTATAGATATTAACTCAGTTCATGCTTCCATCAACCCCATAGAGTAGCTGTTATTTTTCTCGTTTTACAGATGCGAAAATTGAGCCCAGAGAAGAAGCTGGGGAAACTTGCCCCAGACCACACATCCAGGAATAGGAGAGCTGGGATTCAGAACTAGGCCGTCTCGTTCTAGAATGTGTATCCTTAATCCCTGTGGAACAAAAACCAGCAGAGGAAAGCAATGTGGGGTCTCTCATGGCAGAAGGTTGTAGAAAAACACATTTTGCCACTGAAAGAAGAGGCCCTCCCGGATTGTCAGATAGCTCTTCTTTCTGGTCTCAAAGTGTCTACATGTATGGGGTTTCCTTTAAGTCCTTCTGTTTTAGAACTTTTTATAGAAAGTGCTGAGACTGGCAGCCTGGGGGACTGTCTCTGAGTGAAAAACCAGATGATGTCTCCTTTCAGCAACAGAGACTCTGTTGTGAGCTGCATTTATACATGCTCTGACTACAGCAGGTATTGAAATGTGTTGTGGGATGAAATGGACATCAAGAATCTCTAATACCACTGCTATGGTGTAGGGACCTTCCACAGCACAAAGCAGCAGAAGGTTGGCCCTCCCGCTGCCCCACATTGATTGGGGTTGCCCCTGATTGATTTGTGCAGCCCATTCTGCCCTTGGCCTATATTCTTTCTTTTAGGGGAGTCCACTCTGTTTCAGGGAAAAGGAGGAAAGGTTGAGAGTGATAGCCAGGTGGGTTATTACTTGACCCAGGAAGGCAAGGTGTGTCCCTGGTGAAATGTCGGTTTCCTTTTCAGAAACACATTTATTTTGGAGCCCTTGGGTGGCTTGGTTTTGCTTGTACCACCTGTGAAGGCCCAGGGGCCAGGTTGAAGGCCCACGGGAATCTTCCTGAGAGAAGCTTCCGTATTCTCTGCACAAAGCTGTGAACCAAATTGCTGCAGGGAACAAAGGATTCTTTGGGGCTGAAGTTCTAGGTAAAGATCTAGGACATTTCCAGACAACTTCCATGCAAGGGCCATGAGATGGGAACAAAGGGGCAACTTGGGGGAACAGAAAGGAAGGCAGTGCTTCTGGAGAGGGGGACCTGGAGGAGAGCCAGGGGTGAAGCAGGGCCGGCTCCTAAAGGTCCTAATGAGGGGTTTGGTTGCAATCAAGAGAGTGTTCTAGGGAAATACTTGGGGGCACTTTTCCTGGTGAAATGTCACAGAAATCTGCATGTTAACCTAGGTGTGTTGAGGTGTTAGATGGTTCTAAACCAGCTTAATGCCACAAGGGCAACATCTCTAATATCACCCAAGTGTGGGTCCCCACCATGTCTGCCTTTGGATGTTGGCTCAAAACCTCCAATCACTGCCTCTGAGGAATTTCCCCAAGGAGCCCCAGCCACCCTCCCTCACTTCTCACCAGCTCTGTATCCTCACATCAAGTCACCCCCTTTTTGCTCAGCCTCGATTCCATTCCTAAAAGAGTATGCAGTCCATTAGCCTTAGCCACCTTCTCCTCTTTGTCTTATTCTAAATCGTTTTATCCTTCAAATTCTCAGCATTCCCCTCTTGCTGAGACTTTTCTGATTGGCTAGTCCCAAGCCCAAGTATTTGCCTCCCCCATTCAGGGGCCCATTTCCCCTTCCTCCCTCGCCCATGTTGGAATACTTGGTCTGACCAAGGTTTATGCCAGGTGCAAGAGTTAAATTGGGAAGTCATTCGGATGCTGAAAATTTGGAATTTGCTTGGGTGGTCTGGTGGTTTATTATGAACAACAGGTTGGAATATTTGAAACCAAGACTGTCTATAGATAGGCCCCTTTGCTTGTCTGCCTCTCACAGTCTTCTCTCAGGTGTTACTTTTGAGTTGTAATTTGACAGATTTCTATTCAGGCTGAGCTTCCCCTACTTTCCAGACTCTCTCTGTGGTACTTAAACTGAGTGTACCCTGCTGTTTTAGTCTCCCCCAGATGAAAGTTGGCCTAAATCCTAGTGAAAGGGGATAGGCTTTACTGAGAGCAAGGCACAACACGTGCATTTTCTTGTTTATTCCTCATAATAACATCAGGGTATAGTTACCCCTAATTTGAGAAATGAAGACATTTGACAAATGTGGTAGCCAGCCTCCAAGATGGTGTCCCACTTCTAGTGTTCTGGCCTCTTCATTCCCTTCCCACACAGAACAAGGATAACCCGTGTAACCAGTAGTGCATTGTGGAAAAGGCAGTGTGTGGCTTTGAAGGCTGGCCATCGAAGGCATGAGAGATTCTGCCTCCCTTTCTCTCTTGGAAAACTTGTCCTGGGGGAAGAGGCAGCCATGTTGTGAGGACACTCAAGCAGCCCTGTGTTGAGGTCAATGTGGAGAGAAACTGAGGCTTCTTGCCGACAGCCCCAGTGTACCAGCCCTGTGACTGAGCCACTTTAGAAGCAGCTCCTTCTGCTCCTGTAAGTCATCAGATGACTGCGGCCCCAACAAACACCTTCCTTGCAACCTAGTGAGACCTTGAGCTAGAGTGACCCAGCTGAGCCACTTCCAAATTCTGAACCCTCAAAAACTCCATGAGATAATAACCGTTTTTTGTGTGTGTTTAGTTGCTAAGTTTGCTGGTAGTTTGTTACACATGGTAGGTAACTAATACAGTAAAATTTACCCCCATCCGGTAAATGACAAAGCAGGCTCGGAGATATCAGGGATTTGCCAGGAAATGGCAGAGCAGGCACTCGGGCCCACACCTATTTCACAGAAAAGTCCTTGCTCCCACCTCCTTGCATGACTGCCTGTGGCATCTGATTTTTGACAGGCAGATAATACCAGGTAAAAGCAACAGACCTCATTGACTTCATCTCAATCTTGCAATGGTCCTAGATTTGGAGAACCTTAAGATACTGTGGAATGGTTAAAGACCAATCTGTATGAAGTACTTGATTGATCAGATTTAGTTGAAGCTCCATACTCACCCAGTTCAACCACAGCTGTCTGATGTTTAGACCTTCACCCTGTGTTTATTTCTAGTTTTTTCTCTATGATTTTTTACATCACTTAAATCCACTGCCTAAATAGTCTGTTTCCAATTAGAACTTTTACTAAGCTTTCTCTGCAAAAAACATCTTTTCTTTTTTTCCTTTCCTTTCTTTTCTTCTTCCTTTCTCCCCCTCTTCTTTCCCTTCCTCCCTCCCTCCCTTTCCTCCTTCCTTCCTTCCCTCCTTCTTTCCTTTCTTTCTTTATTTAAAATGTAGTTTTGGTGCTAGAATGTAATAGCAACATGTGAGTTTCTGAAGCTGATGTCAACCTATTTTTAGGATTTTTAGCAATTTATATTGACTGCCATTAAGAGATGCAGGTCCAATTCCCTGAGCCTGCCATTGAAAAGATATTCTTCCCAGCACAGGCTTTCTGACATCCACCTGTGGAGTCTCTGTTTAGAGACCTGATGTTTCATCCTCTTCTCCAGCAACTCAAAACCATCAAATTGTCAAAGCTTCAGTTTTCACCACGAACCCGTCTGGTGAACTTGCCAAACCAAAAGAAAACTAGTACACCCTAATAGCTTTGAAAACGAAAAGGAAATTCTCCCTATCAGGCTGCTTTTTTCCCATCTCTTCCACTGAATGGTGGCTGGAAGCAGCAGCACAAGGTTTAGTGGGCTGTGAAGGGAAGAGGCTGCCCCTTGCCTGTTCCTGCTCTGAACAGCTGTGCCCACTCTCTGAAGCCAGTTCTGGCACCCAGTTCGAATTCCTAGCCTGGCAGTAGGTGGGGCCTCCTGACGCCCCCAGGTGGGCTTTCTGTTTGGCCCAGCAAAAGAGAGCTGGCCAAACTAGCCAGCCCCCCATTCTTTCTGTCCCTGAAATAAAAGTGGGTCTGTGACATTATACCTGGAGCTCTGTGCTCAGCAAACTCCTCCTCCCCTTGAGAGTTATTCTGGGGTGCAGATGAGGGCAGGCTGCCTGCTTGGGTTCCACGTGAACATGCTGCTCGCTGGTGTGTGTGGACTTGTCTTGTTCTAATTACTACCTGCTGAGTGCTTAGGGCTTCCAGCATAGGGGAGGGGCACTTCTGTTACTGAATAGAGCTTCTTACAGCAGGGATGATTCTGGTTGAGAATGGATCAGGCAGTGCCCACAGAAGTAAAGGCAGTGAGTATTGATCTTATTTTTTATTCCATAGCTCAGAGTGTTTAAAAAATTGTTTGGTGCTGAAATGGAGAAACACATTTCTTATAAGGTATTTCAAGTTCCAATGAAGCTCTAAGACTTCTCTATAAATTTGAATCTGAACGATTGCTTTGCAAATGGGATTCATCTGACGTCGAGTGAATTTTAGAGCCCAGGGAAGTATGCTAACTATCCTCTTCTCTGTCCATAAATATCAATAGAAGGCATTTGTATGTCCCTTATGTGTAGGAGGGAGATCAGAGGGGGCATAGGCCATGTGGGATGGAGGATGTAGAGGGAAGAAAGCCTGGGAAGGCCATGAACCACAGAAGAATGACCAGGGCAGATGGGTGGGCTGATGCTCAAAAGGGGGGAGTGGCTTGTCCACACACACAGCTAGTAACTGTCAGACTATGAACTGAACTGAACCCCACTGTTGTGCTTTGGGTCCAGCCTCCTTCGGCCATTCCAGTGCATATGTGCACAGTGTGTAACTAAGCTGTGCTTTGTACCTGGTTCACCTGTCAGTCCTGCCCTTCTGCAGCCCCTCAGGCCCCTTCATGAATTAATGAACAGATATGTGGGCATTAAGGAGAGATGGACAAGTTGAGTGGGTCCAGAGAGTTATCTTAAAGGAAGCCACCAGAAAGATGAGTCAACTCAAAGATACTCTTTGAGAACCTATAAGATATGACTCGCTTCCTTCTCCTGCCCCCACTCCCCAATACACACACACACACACACACACACACACACACACATGCACACACTCACATATCTATAAAGTGATTTACTATAAGGAATTGACTCACATGATTTTGAAGGCTGAGAAGTCCCAAGATCTGCAGGGTGAGTCAGCAAGCTGGAGACCATAGGAAAGCTGATGGTATAGCCCAAGTCCAAAGGCCTAAGACCCATGAAAGCCATGGTGTAAGTTCCAGTCCAAGTCCAAGTCTGAAGGCAAAAGACCAATGTCCTCACCCAAAGACAGGCAGAGAGAAGAAATTCTTTCTTTCTCAGCTCATTATTCTCATCAGGCCTTCAATAGATTGGATGAGGCCCACCCACATTGGGGAGGGCAGTCTCATCCAGAAACAACCCTGCAGACATGCCTGGAAATAATGTGTAACCAAATATCTGGGCACTCTATGGCCCAGTCAAGCTGACATATAAAATTAGCCATCCCACCATCCCATCTGAGTTCTTCAGGTGCACTGAGTGTGTACCCCTTGGGTTCTGTCTCACAGTTTAAGCCTCAGCCTCATGGCAGACACTCCACATCCAATCTGTTGTTGAATCTGATTGATTCCTCCATCACAGCATTTCTCATATCTGTCCCTTCCTTTCAAGTCCATTGACAACATCCAATGCAGACCATGACTCTTGGGCAACTGGACTGCCAGGGTCCCCTCACTCCTGTCTTTTTGCCTTTTAGCTCCTCCTCCTCAAATACATTTTTCCCATCTACTAAACTTCCTGAATCTCCTCACTGATGTCATCTTTTACCTGCAAGGCCCATCTTCCATGCTCACATCCTGGTGGCCATTTCCCATTTCTGGCTGTCTCTCACCTATCCACATTTTCAGCAGAACTGAAGAGCTTATTGTCTGTTCAGTTATCTGTCCCCATTTTCTTACCTCTGGACAAGTGCCTACATATATGTTGTTCCTTCTAGCTGAAATGCCTTTCTCCTCTCTGTTCACTCCACACCATCTCCCAATTCTGAAAGTACAAGTCATTTTTGTTCTTCAGGGTTCTATTCAGTGTCACCCCTGCAAGAAGCCTTCCCTGATTTCTCTGGTGGACAAATCTCCTCTTCTTTGAACTCCTATAGCAGTTTTTCAGTTTGGTTATTGAAGTGTGCAGATGATAAGCTCTAGTAAACTCCTAAACTTGGCTGTCCAAATGGATTCTTCTGGTACTTGCTTTCTCTGGTGATGGTGATATGGGGGTGAGGGTGTAGGGGAAATACATGCACTTGTGAGTATCTATTAGCAGTGAGGCTTAAATACACCTTTAAGGCAACAAGCAATGTGAAGTTACAGGTTGATAAATGATTAACTGCCAAATGAATTGTACCGTTTTCAAGATCCCAATGCATTATTCTACAACATGAGTTAAAGTTGGTCCTTCGGTACCTGTGACATTTTCTGGTGTCTTATGTCCACACACAGTTCAATGAAGAAGTGTAACTAAGTCAATAGCTTTTCTTTGCAGATTAGCAACCCTTGCTCCATTTTTCGGGAATGCTTTTATAGTCTCTATGGAATCACCATGTAACAATAAGGCTTTTAAAAAAAAGAAGAATGGTATTTTTTAAATAGACAAAGAGAGTATAATGTATAATGGAGCCAGGGGTCCTCATTGATCTATGTACAGGATTCATTACCTGATCCCCTGCTGTTAAGCGGTTTGCATAGAGAAGCAGAGTTGTTAAAACACACAATGTTCACTAGTGAATTGAGCACTTGAAAAAAATGAGCCCCCCTCATCCACCCTTCCCTGCTTAACAATAGCATCTCTTTCCACCCCCATATCCGTCTTTTTGTCCAGTTTATGGCTATTTGTTGGACAGTGTATCATCCCACCGAAATGCAAATCTCATGAAGTTGACGTGTTGGAGAATTGTTTACACCCCACACACAAAGGTATTATTAAATGAGGATCTCACAATTGAGGACGGACATAAACAAGGATGATGACACAGGTTCTATATCCTTCCAAAAAAAAAATGATTCAACTAGTAAAGAATTAGGATTAGAGACTTGGAAAACCAGACAAAACCCTTGAATATTTTCCCCCAAACTCTCTCTATGGTTATGGGAAAGTGGACATGAAGGGGCATTATCTCATGCTTTTCTACTGCATTATGGGGAAATTACACCAAAGAACAATCAACATTTGATCCCTCCCTCATTCATTATAACAAGCAGGGCATGGTTGCTCTTAGAACATAAATTTTTAAGGAAACCTTAGGTCTCTATTTTATTTTTCAAGATAAAATATCAGTGCAGCCTTTTTTATGCAACTTTTCTTCATTTCAAGTAGTCTGCATGAAGTCATCTTTCTCCTCTTCTGGTTATCCCCATGTATATTATATTTAAATAATGGGAGACGTTTCTATCTGTGAAAAAGGACTTGGAGGTCAAAAAGCATTTGATTTGGGGGTGTCTGTATTTCTGTGAGTCAGTGGAAGAGGTAACAGTAACTGAACTTTGTGGGGTTTGCCATCTGAATAAGCATTTGTTCCTCTAGATCGTAACTGTGGATCCTTGATTTATACTCACTGAGTTAGTACGCCGGTGTTGGATTGAATACCAGGAAACTCAGGTGGAGAACTGTTTGTTCGTGTTCCTTATGAGCCAGCTGCAGTCCATCGCTCAGTTCTGATAAAATAAAACTTTTCCTGGAAGTTGGTGCTTTTTTCTTATTCTTTCTTCCCTTTTTCTTCTTTCCTTCCTCTTTTTTCCTCCTCCATTGTCCTCCTCCTTCTCCCCTTCTTTTTTTTTTCTTTTTGGGTTTTGCTCTGTTGTGTTTTTTTGTTTTTGTTTTTGTTTTTTTACCAAATATTATTTCACTTATGCAGAGATAGCTTGGGATCTTCTAGCTACTCTTTCTCTTCTTCAAGATGTAGAATGTGAATACTGAAAATAATGACCTTAGTGATGAGCTAGCCTACCCCGCTCATTTTTAAGATGAGAGAACTCTGGCTAGAGACAGAATGGTAGAGCTGGATTGGGCCCCTACCCCATCCACTCATGGCTCTAGTCCATGTCCTCTAAGCCACGCCCTGCTTCCTGGTGGGAATGGCCATGAAGGGGAATGACACAGAATATAGGGACACCAGGTCTTGGAAACTTTCCCCCTGTATACAGTTTTGTATTCCCTAGAAGTAGACCTTCAGACAAAATTTAAGAGCAAGTAATTTATTTGGGACTGGATCCCAGGAAACCCAAATGCGAAAGAGACCAAGGAGACAAAGAAGCACCCACAGGTGTGCTGTCAAGCAGGTTACTGCCCTAGACAGCTGGGACTCAATCCATGGGGGAAACTCTGGGAAATGGTACAAAACGTGCACTCGGAGGTGTGACTCCGTAGCACTTCTAGCCTGGCCCACGTGAAGGCAGAGTAGACAATGTTCTGGCAAAGATGCAGGTGCTGGAAGTTGGAAGTCCAGCCTATGTGCATGGAAATGGTTGATGCTGATGGGATATGGGCAGGAGATTAGCTATGTCTTCCACACACTGTATCACAGAAACACACCATAGAGAGGATGGGATCCTCTTTCCTGCTCTCAGGGAAGAAGATACTGGTTTTACAGATGCTAAGTTCCTTTTTCAAGAAGGATAGGAGGAAGGGGGAACTAGAACACACGACAGCCCTAAATTTTTAAGTGACTCCCTTTCAGCAGGAATCCTTTGGGGCAAGTCTCACCAACACACAAAACCCCTGCAAATTCAGTAGGTTTGTGGATAAGTTTAGGATAAAAGGCTAGTCTTAGCCAGCCTGTCTCCACTGCAAGATTCTATGCTTCTCTGCCTGTTTCTCCACCTTTAAAATGTTGGTTAATGGGGCACCTGAGTGGTTCAGTTGGTTAAGCATCTGCCTTCAGCTCAGGTCATGATCCCTCTCCCTCTGCCTGCCTGTCTGCCTACTTGTGATCTCTCTCTCTGTCAAATAAATAAATAAAATCTTAAAAAATAAAATAAAATGTTGGTTAAATCCAT